TACATGCATTTATACATACATACATACATCAAGGTTTTTCTTCTTTTTTTTTAATAGCTCTTGTTCTTTTTTTATTTCGTCTGTTGTACATGGGGAAGTGGAAAAGAATCCTTCCTCCGTACGCCATGTGTGTCATATGAGGTGATTAAAATGATGGTAGCAATGGGCTAATAACTCCTTCTCCTGTACACATTTACTAAAAATGAGAAGAAGAAAAACTTTATAAAACTGGGATGCTTGAATGTGCAGGATGTAGAGCAGATGATAAGAAAGAGATGATTGCTAATGTTATGAATGAAAAGAAGTTGGATATCCTGGCCCTAAGCGAAACAAAGCTGAAGGGGATAGGCGAGTTTCAGTGGGGAGAAATAAATGGGATTAAGTCAGGAGTATCTGAGAAAATTAGAGCTAAGGAAGGGGTAGCAATAATGTTGAAGGATCAGTTATGGAAGGAGAAGAGGGAATATAAATCTGTAAATTCAATGATTATGTGGATTAAAATAAGCATCGGATGCAAAAAGTGGGTCTTAATAAGTGTGTATGCACCTAAAGAAGAGAGGAATGTAGAGAAGAGAGATTTTGGGAGATATTAAGCGAATGTATAGGAACCTTTGACCCAATTGAGAGAGTAATTGTAGTAGGGGACCTAAATGCTAAGAAACAGTAGAGAAGGTGTGGTAGGTAAGTTTGGGGTGCCAGGTGTAAATGATAATGGGAGCCCTTTGATTGAACTATGTATAGATAGGGGTTTAATTATACATAATACATATTTTAAGAAAAAGAGGATAAATAAGTATATAAGATATGATGTAGGGCATAATGACAGTAGTTTGTTGGACTACGTATAGGTAGAAAAAAGACTGTTGAATAGAGGGGCCACAAATATATCAGATCACATTTTCGTTGTAGCTACAGTGAGAGTAAAAGGTAGATGGGATACAAGGAAAATAGAAGCAGCAAGTAAGAGAGAGGTGAAGGTTTATAAACTAAAAGAGGAGGCAGTTAGAGTAAGATATAAACAGCTATTGGAGGATAGATGGGCTAGTGAGAGTATAGGTAATGGGGTAGATTTAAGAATGTAGTGTTAGAGTGTTCAGCAGAAGTTTGTGCTTAAAGGAAAGTGGGTGCAGGAGGGAAGAAGAGCAATTGGTGGAATAATGATGTAAAGAGAGTAGTAAGGGAGGAAAAGTTAGCATATGAGAGGTTTTTACAAAGTAGAAGTGGTGCAAGGAAGGAAGAGTATATGGAGAGAAAAAGAAAGGTAAAGAGAGTGATGAAGCAATGTAAAAGAGAGCAAATGAGAGAGTAGGTGAGGTGTTATCAACAAATTTTGGTGAAAATAAGAAAAAGTTTTGGAGTGAGATTAACAAGTTGAGGAAGCCTAGGGAACATATTGATTTGACAGTTAAAAATAGGAGAGTTATTAAATGGAGAGTTAGAGGTATCGGGAAGATGGAGGGAATATTTTAAGGAATTGTTAAATGTTGAGGAAGATAGGGAAGCTGTGATTTCATGTATAGGGCAAGGAGGAATAACATCTTGTAGGAGTGAGGAAGAGCCAGTTGTGAGTGTGGAGGAAGTTTGTGAGGCAGTGGGTAGAATGAAAGGGGGTAAGGCAGCTGGGATTGATGGGATAAAGATAGAAATGTTAAAAGCAGGTGGGGATATAGTTTTGGAGTGGTTGGTGCTATTATTTAATAAATGTATGGAAGAGGATGAGATACCTAGGGATTGGCAGACAGCATGCATAATTCCTTTGTATAAAGGCAAAGGGGCAAAAGAGAATGCAAAAATTATAGGGGAATAAGTCTGTTGAGTATACCTGGTAAAGTGTATGATGGAGTCCTTATTGAAAGAATTAAGAGTAAGACAGAGAGTAGGATAGCAGATGATCAAGGAGGCTTTAGGAAAGGTAGGGGTGTGTAGACCAAGTGTTTACAATGAAACATATAGGTGAAGAGTATTTAGATAAGGGTAAAGAGGTTTTTGTGGCATTTGTGGATTTGGACAAGGCGTATGACAGGTTGGATAGGGGGGCAGTATGGCAGATGTTGCAGGTGTATGGAATAGGAGGTAGATTACTGAAAGCAGTGAAGAGTTTTTACGAGGATAGTGAGGCTCAGGTTAGAGTATGTAGGAGAGAGGGAGATTATTTCCTAGTAAAAGTAGGTCTTAGACAAGGATGTGTGATGTCACCATGGTTGTTCAATATATTTATAGATGGGGTTGTAAGAGAAGTGAATGTTAGGGACTTGGAAAGAGGTGTGGGGTTAAAAGATAAAAAATCAAATACAAAGTGGGAGTTGTCACAGTTGCTCTTTGCTGGTGACACTGTGCTTTTGGGAGATTCTGAAGAGAAGTTTCAGAGGTTGGTGGATGAATTTGGTAGGGTATGTAACAGAAGAAAATTAAAAGTGAATATAGAGAAGAGTAAGGTGATAAGGATAGCAAAAAGATTAGGTGATGAAAGGTTGGATATTAGATTGGAGGGAGAGATTATGGAGGAGGTGAACATATTCAGATATTTGGGAGTGGACATGACAGCAGATGGGTCTAGGAAGGATGAGGTGAATCATAGAATTGATGAGAAAAGGGTGAATGGTGCATTTAGGAGTCTGTGGAGACAAAGAACTTTGTCCATGGAAGCAAAGAGGGGAATGTATGAGAGTATAGTTTTACCAATGCTTTTATATGGGTGTGAAGCAGATGTGATGAATGTTGCAGTGAAGAGAAGGCTGGAGGCAGTGGAGATGTCATGTGTGAGGGCAATGTGTGGTGTGAATATAATGCAGAAAATTCATAATTTGGAAATTAGGAGGGGGTGCAGGTTTACCAAAACTATTATCCAGTGGGCTGAGGTGGTTTGGACATATAGAGAGAATGGAACTTAACAGAATGACTTTGAGAGTGTATAAATCTGTAGTGGAAGGAAGGCGGGGTAGGGGTCGGCTGAGGAAAGGTTGAAGGGGGGGGGGTAAAGGAGGTTTTGTGTGCGAGGGGCTTTTACTTCCAGCAAGCATGCATGAGCATATTTGATAGGAGTGAATGAAGCCAAATGGTTTTTAATACTTGACATGCTGTTGAAGTGTGAGCAAAATAGCATGTATGAATGGATTCAGGGAAACCAGCAGGCTGGACTTGAATCCTGGAAATGGGAAGTACAGTGTCTGCACTCTGAAGGAGGGGTGTTACTGTTGCAGTTTTATAACTGTAGTGTAAAGCACCCCTCTGGCAAGACAGAGCCACCCTGCCTTGGTGGGAATTGGTTTATGTGTTAATAAATAAAAAATAGTTAGGAGTGGAGAAGTTAGGTTTGAGAGCAATGTGCGGTGTGAATATTAGGATGACAATTTGGAATGTAGAAATTGGGTGACATTGTGGATGGAGTTACGAAAAGGTATAATTCATTGGCCTGAGGATGGCACATAGAGAGGATGTAGAAAAACAGGAAGAAGAGGGATGGAGATGTAGTTGGGAGGGTTATTTGAATTGTGATGTCTGCACACTTTTGTCAAGACAGCTATTGAATGAGTGGTGGTAAATGTGTTTTGTTTTTTGGGGTCACCCTGCCTTGGTGGGAGATGGCTGGTGTGTTAAAAAAGTTGACTTTTTGTTGATTGTGGCATATCTTTGCCCATCCACTCATTATCAGTACATGACTGTTTAGTATGCCTTTTAATCTTTTACTCTGTGGTATTAACATTCCTGTCTCTAACATCACCTTAGCAGTGGTCATCCAGTTTCTCCTAAAGTCATTCCACCTTGGTAATGCTATTAAAACAGTTTGGATTTGCAAATGTGTTCTTGAAAAGCATCTATCTTAGGCATCTTCCTTCATGATGACCTCTTTTACTAGACCATTGCAACAGTGTTCTTACATCATTCTTGCTCCTTGTCGATCATTTAGAAGTCGTCTCTTTAGGTGGTTTTTAAACTACCTTGGGGACCAACCAGCAGTCAGTTCAGAGCCAACGCAATGGCAGTACACCTCCCAGAAGGCAGTCTTTCTACTTCCTCTCAGCTCAGTCTTCTAAGTCAACATTCTTCAAGCTCTAAAGCATGCCAAAGGATTCATAGAGTTCAGTGTTGTGAGTCCTTGCATCACTCTTACTTCCCTTTGAGGCTTCCTCCTTAAGAACAGGCATGTACACAGTTCAAGCACCTCGTTCTCATCAGCTTGGTCGAGAGCATCCTGACATCTTTGTTCTTAGCCTTGTGGAGGCCCTGTGGGAGACTGCTTTACCTCCCAGAATTTTATTCCTTTATCTTACTGCATGCTGGTGTGGGCCTAACTGAAGGCTGAGTATGGAGGTTCTGTTGTATATCAGTCTTACATGATCTGTATGTGTCTGACAGAATCATGCCCCATTTTTGGGGGGGTTCATCCTTTCAGTCAACAGCTGCCTCTTTTATCATGGATACAGGTCGGATGATTCCAAGCAAGCTTCCTTCCTCCCACCTCCGGGGGGGGGGGGGGTAAAAACCTGTTTTGAAACATCCATGGTTTCTGCCACCTTCCCCAGCTCTGGTGTTTCAGCTGACAGCTGGATTCCAGTGCTCTCAAGGAAGCACTGGAGAGTGATGTCGATCATAATAAGCAAACAACATCTGGTAACCAAAGGTGAAGAAGGTTGTTATTAAGCACATAGCATGTCTGTAGATCTTGTTGGGGTCTAGAAAGGTGAGTATCGGCATGAATGAGATGCAGCATATTCCAAGTGGGACCCCAGGACTCACAGCAGAAACACATCTTTTGTTAAGGGCAAAATGAAATTTGGATATTTATAAAAAAGTAGAGTACAGCACACAGTAAAATTTTGCAAATTACAAAGCCATAGATATTGTTCCAAAAGTAAACTTGTGTTCTAGTGTGAAGAACAATACTGGTGACCTGCAGAACTTTGATTTCATTTACACAAAAACTACAGTACCTCCCATGTTGGAGATGATGTCAAGATATTTTTTTTTTTCTGTGCACTATTTCTTACCATCTTTTTCAGGATACCTAGAAAGCCGCTCTTCTCTTGATATTCTGGATATTGAGAAATCATTGGATCACTTGTGCAGTTCAGTAAATATCAAGGACTGTCAAGTGGATCCAGGACAGTTGCAGAACCTTCAACCATTACTGCAGTTTGCAGCTGACCTCGCACTTTTTATTCTTTTCATGCTGGCCCAGAATAGTAAGGTAAGCATCTTAATTTAACTGTGTAGATATTGTACAGTATTTGGGTCCTGTGCTTAAAGTCATGTAAGTTGCAAACAGTGACCTATTTAGCAAATAATCTTGTTGAAAAAATCATACCAAATTCATTCTTTAAGTGTCTAGCATTAAAAAAAATATGAAAGAAGTGGATTTGTTGATTGCATTTATTGAGATTTTTAAGAAAGCTTTTGGTAAGAGTTTCCAATAAAAGACCATTTTGGAAACTAGAAGACATAGGAGGAATAAAGGGAAAACTATTGCATTGGAGAAGAGATTTTTTGTTTGAAAGAAAATTGCTAATGTAACCTAACGCAATTGAAAAATTGCAACTATAAACTGATCTGCATGAAAAACTCCAAGCTTACAAGTGTGAAAAAAAAAAAATCACCATGGAATTGAGTTACATGCAAAATCTTGGATGGCTACACAGCCCAATCTGTGCCAGATTGGCCAGTAGGGCCAGTCAGGCACAGACTGGGGAGGATGCCCATCATTACTCCTTGCTCTAACACATCAAGGAAGTGTAATATAGGAGAGGCCTGAGGGACATGATTAATGAACAAAGGAAATGTTGTTTTAGTGCCAGGAATGTCTGCATTGTTTATTTGGCACTCTATTTTTAAATTGGTATTTTTATAATTTTGTGTAAAAGTGGCCAAATGACTGACTTATAAGGTACAGTAGACCATCATTTAGCACAAGTTTATTTGGCACAATTTGGGTATAGCACGATTGAAGAATTGCGGCACAATTTTATGTAACACGTAAAATTAATTAAACACGGTTCAGTTTGCAGGAAGGAAAAAAAAAATCACTTTTCCTCAAGCAACTGCCTTGTTGTGGATCAGCTTGGGAGACCTCCCGCTATCCCCTGCCATCCCCCGACATCATCCCAGCATTCATAGTTCATACGTGCCCAGTCTTTCTCTGCTACAAGCTAGCTGTGTTTGTGAATTGTGTTTTGATCTTTTAATTACTATATCTTGTATCTGCCAAGCAATCATGACAGGAGAAGGAGTTATTAGCCCATTGCTACCATCATTTTAGTCACCTCATATGACACACATGGCGTACGGAGGAAGGATTCTTTTCCACTTCCCCATGGACAACAGACGAAATAAAAAAGAACAAGAGCTATTAAAAAAAAAAGAAGAAAAACCTTGATGTATGTATGTATGTATAAATGCATGTACATACAGTGAACCCTCGGTTATCAGTCGTTCCGCCTTATCGGCCAACTCATTAATAGGCCATTTATCGCTTCCGGTTATCTGCCAATTATTTCACTTATCGGCCATATTGGAGGCTTATCAGTGGCGACTCAGCATTTCTGAGTCAGTGTAGCGTGTACTGGCCATTGTAAGGAGCTTGCTCTTTCATCCAAACCATTTTTTTTTCCCCCCACTATATTTCCACTGTTTTTCTCTTGCTATTTATTAAGTGCAACTGCAAATAAGTCAGCAGGCCCCAAATAAAAAGTTCCTAGTAAGTTCCTGTGGTAAAGAACGTTAAGAAAAACAATGGAATTTAAGAGAGAGAAGTGATTGAAAACTTGAGAGGAGTGGTACTGCCGAGTGCTGGGAAACTTGCCAGGATGTATGGGAAAAAAACAAATTCTACCATCACTTCCATCCTAGAAAAGAAAGAAGAAATCAAGGAAAGATGATTTGCGAAAGGGAGTAAATGTGATTAACGACACATAGGTCACCAATGATGGAAGATATGGAAAAAGTTATTTATTGTTGTGGATCAGGGGAAAAAACAATTAGCGGGTATAGTGTTGTGAGTCAGTGATCTGTGAGAAAGCAAATAGTTGCATGAGGGATCTTGCAAAGAAAATGCCTGGAACAAGTGATCGCTGTTAGGATGAATTTAGGGCCAGCAAAGGCTGGTATGAGAGATTTAACCCCTTGACTGTCGCAACCCCCAATCCCTGAGATGTCTCCCGGGTGTCGCTAAATTTAAAAAAAAAAAAAAAAAAAAAAAAAAAAAAAAAAAATCTTATGAATGGATAGAGGAGAGAAATCTGTTCCTCGATTGTAATGGGGACACCAAAAAAAAAACGAAAATTTGCTGGGGAAAAACTGATTGGTATTACGGCTCTCGCGCGAAGGTTAGCGACTCAGCAATATTTACAAATCGGCGATTTCTCGCCCACTTTGAGCCTAGTTTTCAGCTAAGTCCATTATTCCTGTCGACCAACTATAGCTATTTCTTTAGAACTCCCTTTTTTGCCTATCGATTGAGTACAAGAGACTGCCATTTACCGGATTTCAAATACCCAATAACGTGGGTCAGAAAATCTGCAATTTGGCCAATTTCGCTAATATAATTAAAAAAATATGACAATTTCAATGCAGACATTCCCTGCTCTACAATAACCATTTTCTTTGTTCTTTCAGTCACATCTCAGGCCCCTTGATATTAACGCTTGCTTTCTATTTTGATTTTATTCAAAACAAAAAAATACAAGATTTACTGTTATACAAACTACTGATATACTGTAATAATTTGTATAAATTTGTCAACCCCATTCATAACTGCTATTAGAATGGCTACTTCGACATTTTATTGCAAATGAGACAACATTTGTTTACTTCTGAACATCGGCAAAAATCAAAAAATTTTCCCTACTCTTGAGCTCCTTTCAAGTTCTTTTCATAGTAAAACCAATTAAAACTTTCACCTCTACTCTATATCTGTTTTCATTCTATCAAAATGGAGACAAGAAAACAAAGGGAATACAACCATAAATACTATACGAAAAATGGACCTCAAAGTCGGATTTTAATTAAAAAAAAAAAGGTCGGAGTTTTTTTTTCGCATTATGCACTGCATGCTGCAGGATTTTTTTATATGGTGCACACTGACCATACAGACCCATTCTCTCACATGTAGGCCTACCAGCTTTCACCTGCTTGATTTGATGCCGCTAGAATTTATAGTTATACAGTAGGGCCCCACTTATACAGAGGGTTAGGTTCCCAGGCGGACTGTCGCCGGAAAGCAGCATCACCGGAAGGCATAAACTCCATTTTTTTCCATTTTATAAACGCATATATATGCCAGACAACAAGTTTTACACTAATTATAATAAGTTAGTAATAGAACGGCATTAAAAAATCACACAAAGTAAAATACAGTCACAGTAAATTTCATTATTATTTAAAGTATTTGTAATTTAAATGTAGGGAGAGAGGTGAGTAGTATCTTATTTGTAGGAAGTCAGGGCAGGTAGCCCAGGTGTAGGTAGCACTGGTCCCCGTCTCATACTTATATTACAATATTTAAAACATCCCAGAGAGGTAAAATGCCACAACTGTACACTCATTATTACCTTTAAAATAGTGTAGTCTTAATATAGGAAAAGAGGTGAGAGTATTTATTTGTATAAAGTCAGTGTAGGTAGCGGTAGGTGTAGCGCTGGCTATAACCGACCGGGCTCCTACACTGTGGCCCAGGAGCCATATTGTATAACATCGACATGCCTTGTTCACTGATCTAATCATTTCTACAACTACCTTTAGATTGCCATCATAAACGAAGGTAGAGGTAATGCACAAATTCACTGCCAAAAATTGTAAACAAAAGCGGAAGTGGGGGAGTGGGCTGGGCCAAACGCAGATTCATACACGTTTTCTCTGGATGGGTGAGCAGAGAAACGTAATGTTGTCCCTCCACCCGGCTCACACAAGTATATTATCACGAGCATATAAAATATGGCCAATAAAATGCCAGACAACAAGTTTACACTAACTTATATTAAGTTAGCAATAGAAATAGGCCTTAAAAACACATAAAAGGTAAGATACACACAGAGTACACCTTATTTACTTACCTTAAAATATTATATTAATGTGTAGAGGTGAGTAGCAGGGTGTTTATTGAATAAAATCAGAATGACACACCATCATCCTCTAACTTGGCACTTAAAGCAAGAGGCTTACGACTTATCTTTTTATTACAGCTAACCTTAGACGCCATCGTCAATGAGAGCCAACTAGTTAACCCTTTCAGGGTCCGTCCCGTAGATCTACGGCTGGTCGGTGAGTGTCCAAACCGTAGATCTACGCCAAAATTCTAGCGCCGTCAAATTTAGCGCGAAAGCGCTCATAGGCCTACATATGAGAGAATGGGTCTATGCCGTGGGTGTGCGCCATAAACAAAAAATCTAGGCGCCTGCATAGCATTGTGGGAAGCCGGCTCAGTCACCTTGTTCACCATGTCTCGTCGCAAGTCAGCTCTCACTCCCCGGAAAATTGGGACTCTCCTCTCCGGTTGATAGTTCTGCACTGATGGAAGTGGAAATGAAGCGATTCTACGGCTTTGATAGTTAGTGACCGAAAATATGACCGGATATCGATAATATGCAGAAAATACCCCGACGATCCTCGACTTCTACCTCTGTGTGGGCACTCGTGACTACCCGGTCGGGTGTTCCTAAACGTAAGAGGCAAACTAATATTTTCCAGTTGGCCCCTGGCCTCTGACTTCATAATGACAATGATTCTGACGTGGTTGTGATTTATGCGCTCGACGAACATTCGAGTAGTGATAGTGAGGAAAACATATTCACCAGTGAAGCGCGTATGTTCGCCGCCGCATGCGCTCGGGTAGTGTTACCTATGCTGTGCCCAGGGGACGGAGGTCATCCCGGAGGTACATCCCGGAGTACATCCCGTGGCTTACACCCGTGTTAGGTAGTGATAGTGAGGGATGTTGTGGCTACACTTGGCTGGATGGGCCACAGACTTCAGTGGATGGTGTTAGTTGGGGCTGGTGGTGGTAGTGCACCGCCATGCGTGGCTCGCTGTGCCACGCGGGGAACCCACGACTGATGACTCGTCGTTCAAGGACAAGCGGGCATCACCACCAGCCCGCCACAACACACCGTAACAACAGCCTATGATGTTCCAGTATCACGCAAACGTATCTGGGATTGGCAGCAAAATCCCCAATTTGGTTCCCAGCCCCACACTTTG